AATTTTTCTTTAAACATTTCAAACAAAAAGGAGGATATCCGGCGCGAGCAAGACAAATGCAAATTCAAATGGTGAGACCCTAAGTGAAGCCGATGTTTACCCGGCAAACGGGATACTTGACAACCGTACCTCTACCGTAATTTGCCACAAATAAAACATGGAAGATATTACTATTACACATTCATATATTGATTACGTCACAGAAACGCCTCCATAATGTTAGTTGAATTTTTGGGTGCGGTTTTCGTTCTTGAAATAAAGGCAAATAGAACGAATTTAGGTAAATCTTTAAAATTAATTAATTCCACAGACATTTCTTTTTATTGAAGAACCATAAACTTTGAATAATAATGATATTTTCTTAGTGATGATAACAAAGAAATATCGTTATCAGCTAAAAACTTCCGAAGGAAAAAGCAAATAGAGGCAAGGGTCACAGTAGATCAAAGGTGGGCTTCTTGTATGGATGGGAGTGAAAAAGATAAATGAAAGCGAATAAATTGAAATGAAATTAGTCATGAAGATGTGATATTTATGATATGAAAATTGGGTTTCTACAGTGATTGAAACAGAATTAAAAATTATTCAAACTCCATTCTTCACAGCAAGCATCAATGTAGTGGAATAGAAAATGAGAAAGAAAAAATAGAATGTGAAGATACGGAACTTTAACAGATATATTCAATGCATAATATTCTTACAAAGTGAAGTTGCCAACCTCCTGCTTGTCAATAGTTTCGTTTTTTTTTGTTTATTGGAAATTATGTACGATTTCAGATAGAATGATAATTTTTATTCTGATAGCGTTCTCAGTGTATTGAATTTCATTTGCTGTTTCTAAATTTTGCCCCTCAAAAACATTTGGCGATACCAACATGTGAAATTTCGAGTAAAACTAGCACCTAAAATGAACGCAGCTTGTTGCTTATTCAAAAGTAGTAAGAGACCCGCAACTGCGCATACAAGCTAGCCTCCCACTGCCAGTTATGAAAGGAGTTTAAGGCACGTTCTGCATAAGTTAACTTGCACTTAACCTACTTATATGTCGGGTTAATTCTACGCACGAGGATCATTTTTGCATATTGCCAAAGAAGGCTAGATTAATCTTGAAGCACCCCGTTCACTATTAACGCTTGTTATGACACAGAGTCACATTGTAATTGAAGAAAGGATGACAATCTGCACA